CATAGATGAGGTGATTTAGTAATAGCGAATTACACTTAATATTAATTACAATACGTCAGTACGGCTAATAACCCCTATGTAACGGCTACTAAGTCCATCATGTAACAACCCGTTTAATTCTTTTATTCCACGGTAACTTTTGGAACAATGTGTAACAGGTTATAACCCCTGCTGATAATTTGAATCTTAAAACCATGTATGAGGGCTACATATACAGTGCAATTAATCGTAAATAAGTAGATTCTACGGTACTGGTAACTTTTGGCTATGACGCTACAACATGTACTACGTATTCTACAGACTACCATCAACTACTTACTTTAAAAAGCTGGTTTACTAACTTACAGAACAAACGCCACTGTTTATATTTACCCTTATTATTGCTGAGGACTACAACTGGTTTTTGCGCCTCTGGTATTACTGATGAAACTGATATTGCTGAGACCTGCACAGATGTTGATTGGATCTCACTTGTTGCCTGCGCCTCGGTTGTTACTGGGAAAACTATTCTTGCTTGGAGGACATCCTCAGGTGTTGATGAGAAAATACGTGTTGCTTGAACTATGGGTGTTACTGAGAGAACTGTTGTTGCTTGGTCCTGCACAGAAGTTGGTGGGACCACATGTGTTGCTGGGGTCTCAGATGTTGCTGGTACCAGGGTCGTTTCGTAATGTGGTGTTTTGGAGGTTTGTTCTAAACCAAACAATGGAAAGAAAAAAATATGTCATAGGGTTGTCATAAACCGCCAAGAATTTCCTTAGAGGCCACAGTAAAACTCACATCTGTCACTGTAAACCATAGATGAGGTGATTTAGGAATAGCGAATTACACTTAATATTAATTACAATACGTCAGTACGGCTAATAACTCCTATGTAACGGCTACTAAGTCCATCATGTAACAACCCGTTTAATTCTTTTATTCCATTGTAACTTTTGGAACAATGTGTAACAGGTTATAACCCCTGCTGATAATTTGAATCTTAAAACCATGTATGAGGGATGCATATACAGTGCAATTAATCGTAAATAAGTAGATTGTACGGTACTGGTAACTTTTGGCTATAACGCTACGACATGTATTACGTATTCTACAGACTACTATCAACGACCTACTTTAAAAAGCTGGTTTACTAACTTACAGAACAAACGCCGCTGTTTATATTTACCCTTATTATTGCTGAGGACTACAACTGGTGTTTGCGCCTCTGGTGTGACTGATGAAACTGATATTGCTGAGACCTGCACAGATGTTGATTGGATCTCACTTGTTGCTTGCGCCTCGGGTTTTACTGTGGAAACTATTCTTGCTTGGACATCCTCAGGTGTTGATGAGAAAACACGTGTTGCTTGCACTATGGGTGTTACTGAGAAAACTGTTGTAGCTTGGTCCTGCACAGAAGTTGGGGGGACCACATGTGTTGCTCGGACCTCAGCTGTTGCTGGCACCAGGGTCATTTCGTAATGTGGTGTTTTGGAGGTTTGTTCTAAACCAAATGATGGAAAGAAAAAAAAAAATGTCATAGGGTTGTCACAAACCACAAAAACTTTCCTTAGTGGCCACAGTAAAACTCACATATGTTACTGTATACCATAGATGAGGTGATTAAGGAATAGAAAATTACACTAAATATTAATTTTCAATAAGTCAGTACGGCTAATAACCCCTATGTAACGGCCACTAAGTCCATCATGTAATGTCCCGTTCAATTCTTTTATTCCATTGTAACTTTTGGAATACTTTGTAACAGGTTATAACCCCTGCTGATAATTTGAATATCACCATGTATGAGGGCTGCATATACAGTGCAATTAATCGTAAATAAGTAGATTGTACGGTACTGGTAACTTTTGGCTATGACGCTACGACATGTATCACGTATTCTACAGACTACTATCAACGACTTACTTTAGAAAGCTGGCTTACTAACTTACAGAACAAACGCCACTGTTTATATTTACCTTTATTATTGCTGAGGACTACAACTGGTGTTTGCGCCTCGGGTGTTACTGATGAAACTGATATTGCTGAGACCTGCACAGATGTTGATTGGATCTCACTTGTTGCTTGCGCCTCGGGTGTTACTTGGGAAACTATTCTTGCTTGGAGGACATCCTCAGGTGTTGATGAGAAAACACGTGTTGCTTGCACTATGGGTGTTACTGAGAAAACTGTTGTTGCTTGGTCCTGCACAGCAGTTGGTGGGACCAAATGTGTTGCTGGGGCCTCAGATGTTGCTGGCACCAGGGTCGTTTCGTAATGTGGAGTTTTGGAGGTTTGTTCTAAACCAAATGATGGAAAGAAAAAAATATGTCATAGGGTTGTCATAAACCACCAAAAATTTCCTTAGAGGCCACAGTAAAACTCACATCTGTCACTGTAAACCATAGATGAGGTGATTTAGGAATAGCGAATTACACTTAATATTAATTACAATACGTCAGTACGGCTAATAACCCCTATGTAACGGCTACTAAGTCCATCATGTAACAACCCGTTTAATTCTTTTATTCCACTGTAACTTTTGGAACAATGTGTTACACGTTATAACCCCTGCTGATAATTTGAATCTTAAAACCATGTATGAGGGCTGCATATACAGTGCAGTTAAACGACAGCATTGTTTTTTTTTTAATCGACTCATGCTATGTATTTGTTTCACTGTATTTGCGTGTATTCATTAGTCACACCTGAGTAGTGAAAGTTTGAATTTGACATCAAACCCTTCCACTATTTAAATAACCTATTCAAGTGACATTCACATGGCCATCCTAGTACGATATTGAGGTCTCTGTAGTCTCTGTGGTCCTTTTTTTTTAGTTTTTGTTCATTGAAAACCACAGGGTCACCAGCATTTTTTGCCGTGAAACCAGGGAAGTGACATCGCATAAACTTGCATACAAATTATTGTCAGTCCCAATATATTTACAGCTACATCGTTCTCCTACCTACGTACACTTGTGTAAATGCCTTATATAGTGTGAAATGAAGAAAGATTGAAAGATTGAAAGATTTGGCTCTGAATTACGTTACTTACTTGAACTAGTCGTAGTACTGTAACCACCAGTGACAATAAGATTCAGTTCCTTATAAGTGCATCCCCCTCGGTTAACTGCCTGGCAGAAATATCTCCCACGGTCATCTGGCTGTACTTTACCCAAATTCAGAATGCAGGTTTTATTCGGGCTGGGTTTTTTGTAAGTGCAGATAGGCATCTCCAGATACGTTAAGTTGACAAACCAGTTCATTTCATACGGATAGTAGTAGTGGGAGCTTGCCCACACAGATGGCTCTTTTGGCCCCTTTGCAGTGCATGTCAAGGTAACATTGGAGTCCTTTTGCACCAGAATATTGTTGTAAAAGTGTTGTGGATTTTCTGAAAGCGAACTGTCACCATGAACAGTGGCAAAGAAGTCCACTTGTGGGGCGTCTTACATATATTTAAAAGAAAAAGGTATTTAATAGGGCAATTCTTATCAATAATACAGTATCTTAAATAATTTTCTATGTACTCTCCACCCACCCCACACCGCAAGATCAAACCAACAAATCAACAAAGCCCAATCGAGGAAGCGGTGAGAACGCCAAAAGGTGAAATTTTCCCGTCCATAAGTCAGTGCTGATTCGGGGTGAAGAAGGGGTTTGGAATTTTTCGTCGACTTTGTCCATAATTTTAGCTACAGGAATTTTAATTAGTTAATAGACTGCGACAGTGTTATATTTAGTTTTCTTTTCCAAGTTTCTGGTGTGGGACGCGTTACACATACACGCGAGCGGTGAACCAACGATCTCCATGCGACGAAGTCGTATATATAATGTTGATAAGAAAAAAGCAATCTGAAGTTGAGCTAACGTGAACGAGGTGATCGTCGATAGCAGAAGGCTATTGCCAGTGAGATCGTAGATGAATCACCTTCAGTGTAACCGCGTACCAACAATCTGCCCTTTTTAGAAATGCCATGTTTAGATGCCAAAATATAATCTCATTGGTTCCTAAGGACCGGTCATTATTTATCGCCTGGGGGAGGGGGGAAGGAGGATTTTTTGGAGATTACTTGATTTTTAGGAGAACAAAAGGGGGGATCAGTCGTAATTGAGAACCCAACAGGGGAGATCAATGAAAACTTTGGAAGGATCATGATAGAGGGTGAACCAATCAAATTTGCTTGGATGGATTTATGAAAAAGAAAGGTCCGATAACTGAAAGTTATTCTTTTTAATCAGTTGCATTGTTCAGACTAAAGCTTTAAACAAGATGTTTTCTTGATTCGATGCATGCAGAGGTGACAAATTTATTGAAGAAAATTTCGTCACGTTCGTTTTCAAAAATTCGGCAAGTACGAATTAAATCATTAAAGTCTAAAATTACATTAAATTGAATTTACTTTATGGCCTTATCTACACGTATCTTGATATTTTTGATAATGGAGATATTTTTCTCCGTTTTAGCCTTCCGTCCACACTTTGTGGTGTGTGCACTACTAACATTTGTACTGCCGCAATTTTAAATTATTCCATAACACTGCATTGAGACTTATTCAACTTACTTGGTTCACATGAAAAACATATTGAATGGTACCCTACAACCAAAGGTGATGACGTCGAAATAATACTATTAATAATAACAGTCAATTTTACGGTTGTAACTACTTCTTATTATCTTTTAGAAAGAGTCAGAGAAAGATTCTGCAAAAGAGAATAATTCAAAAACAAGAACGCTTTTTGTAGCGTCGAGTCTCCGCGAGCGGTCGACGTCCTTCTTTCCTCAGAGCCAAGCGCGGCGAGCGAGAAGTAAAATTATGCTCTCGATCTACTATGACATAAAAGAAAAGCAAGAGACTGCTCGCAGTCTAGCAGGCAATCAATTCTACACGAAACAGGATTTCCTCGCTAGGAGTTTTTCAATTCCTACTTTATCAACGGTCAAGCATTCTTCNAAGCTTTAAACAAGATGTTTTCTTGATTCGATGCATGCAGAGGTGACAAATTTATTGAAGAAAATTTCGTCACGTTCGTTTTCAAAAATTCGGCAAGTACGAATTAAATCATTAAAGTCTAAAATTACATTAAATTGAATTTACTTTATGGCCTTATCTACACGTATCTTGATATTTTTGATAATGGAGATATTTTTCTCCGTTTTAGCCTTCCGTCCACACTTTGTGGTGTGTGCACTACTAACATTTGTACTGCCGCAATTTTAAATTATTCCATAACACTGCATTGAGACTTATTCAACTTACTTGGTTCACATGAAAAACATATTGAATGGTACCCTACAACCAAAGGTGATGACGTCGAAATAATACTATTAATAATAACAGTCAATTTTACGGTTGTAACTACTTCTTATTATCTTTTAGAAAGAGTCAGAGAAAGATTCTGCAAAAGAGAATAATTCAAAAACAAGAACGCTTTTTGTAGCGTCGAGTCTCCGCGAGCGGTCGACGTCCTTCTTTCCTCAGAGCCAAGCGCGGCGAGCGAGAAGTAAAATTATGCTCTCGATCTACTATGACATAAAAGAAAAGCAAGAGACTGCTCGCAGTCTAGCAGGCAATCAATTCTACACGAAACAGGATTTCCTCGCTAGGAGTTTTTCAATTCCTACTTTATCAACGGTCAAGCATTCTTCCATTCGGTCATTCATTCTCATATTTCAGTCATCGCCGAAAATATATAAACCGTATGCTCATCACAAGAATCATTTGCAAACAATGAAAGTATACAACACCCGACCAGTTGGCCTTACTTGTATGCAGTTTGGGTGTAGGTGAGCGGCCAAGACCTTGGAACCCTTGACCCTGTCTAAGATTGTAGCCCATGCGCTATTTAAGAAGATATTTTCTTTTCGGATAGTAAATACGATACAAAATGGGATAAGCGTTCTCAGTTATAAATACTCATCAATCACCAAAAACCTTGGTCACGTGGTCTATGTAAAAAGGACCATCATATAATTATCCTGCATGACAGGCGCTTTATAAGGCGATTTAACAGACGGTTTGGGCGTTACGAGTTTGGGGGGCTTATATTTGGAGGGGCTTATACATGGAGGGGCTTATTTTCGAATTTTACGGTAACCAAATGGAATCCCATTAACGGTTTAGGGATGGCACATACCATCACAACAAAAACGAAACGATTTACCTGATTTTACATGAAGTGTCTGTGTCTGTTATCCATGGTTAAACATTTTCGAAGGGACTTGAATAAAGGGGAAGTCGATTAAATTCAAAACACAATCGTTTCAGCCGTATCGGAAGCTTGAGACGACATACCGTCTCGGGTTTAAAGTATAAGCATATGGCCATTTAGCGTCTATACAAAGTTGATGTTTAATCAGAGTTAAGCACTTCATCGTTAAAACATGTCAAATATCTAATTCTGGAAACTCGCAAGAACTGTTAGTCTATGAATAAACATACTAACAACTCAAAAGTAGGTTGAGTTTCATCGTCCGGGCGAACGTAGTCCTGAATAGGACCAGTAGGACTGCTGTTGTTGACATTGACTGTGCGGTAGTCATCTTCAAAGTCAAAGTGAGTTGGATCACGTCAGTTGATAGTTTTATACTCTGGTTATTGATCTGATTGGTCAATTACGACGCGATGTTATTGGTCGTCTGTCAGTTAAGCCGTGATGTTATTGTCTATGAAGACTCGTAATCAGTAATTGGTGCGTTTCGATCCGTCTCTTGTCACATTTAAAGACTCGTCTATTGTTAGTCAAATGGTTAGTTCTCCAGTTGTTCTCTCTTATTCTTGCTTGATCTCGTATATAAGTAGTGTGTACGGTGCTGGTAACTTTTGGCTATGACACTACGACATGTATTACGTATTCTACAGACTACTATCAACGACTTACTTTAAAAAGCTGGTTTACTAACTTACAGAACAAACGCCACTGTTTATATTTACCTTTATTATTGCTGAGGACTACAACTGGCGTTTGCGCCTCTGGTGTGACTGATGAAACTGATATTGCTGAGACCTGCACAGATGTTGATTGGATCTCACTTGTTGCTTGCGCCTCGGGTGTTACTGGGGAAACTATTCTTGCTTGGAGGACATCCTCAGGTGTTGATGAGAAAACACGTGTTGCTTGCACTATGGGTGTTACTGAGAAAACTGTTGTTGCTTGGTCCTGCACAGAAGTTGGTGGGGCCACATGTGTTGCTGGGGCCTCAGATGTTGCTGGCACCAGGGTTGTTTCGTAATGTGGTGTTTTGGAGGTTTGTTCTAAACCAAATGATAGAAAGGAAAAAAAATGTCATAGGGTTGTCACAAACCACAAAAACTTTCCTTAGTGGCCACAGTAAAACTCACATCTGTCACTGTAAACCATAGATGAGGTGATTTAGTAATAGCGAATTACACTAAATATTAATTTACAATACGTCAGTACGGCTAATAACCCCTATTTAACGGCTACTAAGTCTGTCATGTAACGTCCCGCTTAATTCTTTTATTCCACTGTAACTTTTGGAACTATGTGTAACAGGTTATAACCCCTGTTGATAATTTGAATCTTAAGACCATGTATGGCGGCTACATATACAGTCAATAAACGACAGCATTGTTGTTGTTTTTTTTTTAATCTACTCATGCTATGTATTTGTTTCACTGTATTTGGGCGTATACATTAGTCACACCTGAGTAGTGAAAATTTGGACATCAAACCCTTCCACTATTAAAATAACCTATTCAAGTGACATTCACATGGCCATCCTAGTACGATGAGGTCTCTGTAGTCTCTGTGGTTCTTTTTTTTTGTTTTTGTGCCTTGAAAACCACAGGGTCACCAGCATTTTTTGCCGTGAAACCAGGGAAGTGACATCGCTTAACTTGCATACAAATTATTGTCAGTTCCAATAAATTTACAGCTACATCGTATTCCTTCTTACGTACACTTGTGTAAATGCCGTATGTAGTGTGAAATAAAGAAAGATTGAAAGATTTGGCTCTGAATTTCGTTACTTACTTGAACCAGTGGTAGTATTGTAACCACCCGTGACAATAAGATTCAGTTCCTTATAAGTGCATCCCCCTCGGTTAACTGCCTGGCAGAAATATCCCCCACGGTTATCTGGCTGTACTTTACCCAAATTCAGAATACAGGTTTTATTCGGCGGGTAGGGTTTTTTGTAAGTGCAGATAGGCATCTCCAGATACCTTGAGTTGACAAACCAGTTCATTTCATACGGATAGAAGTAGTGGGAGCTTGCCCACACAGATGGCTCTTTAGGCCCCTTTGCAGTGCATGTCAAGGTAACATTGGAGTCCTTTTGCACCAGAATATCGTTGTAAAAGCGTTGTGGATTTTCTGAAAGCGAACTGTCACCATAAACAGTGGCAAAGAAGTCCACTTGTGGGGCGTCTTACATATATTTAAAAGAAAAAGGTATTTAATAGGACAATTCTTATCAATAATACAATGACTTAAATTATTTTTTTTATGTACTCTCCACCCACCCCT